TTCAACTACTCCAAATGTTGATTCACTGGGAACTCAAAAAGCTAACTAATATGAGAACTTCCTGCACAAAGGGCTGTTTAGATGCAAGTGTTTGCTTAATATTGATGTTTTTCTACCACAAAACACTTATTCTATACAGACCTCTAGACTTCTTGATTCTCTTCTTAATGCTTTCACCAACCCAGCTGTGGTCACAGAATTTAGTCCCCAGGAAGCCTGAAGGAAGATGAAGGGCCCTTGGACCAAACGAAGCTACTGAATGTATTCTGCGAGTTCCTTGGTGAAATATCAAGTTATGCCAGGTTAAGCAGGTTTCTTTTCCCAGTCATTTAACAGATAGTTATTGAGTACCCTGCCTTTACAGTGTTCCCTAGTGAGGAAGGAGGGGGAAAAACAAACATTTTAACAGTTGATTTAATTGATTAATTTTAATTTGGATTAGAGCTTAAGGGAAACAGAATCCTCAAACAGAGCCACACTGGAGAAGACCTGCATTGGTTAAGCTGCACAGAATAGGTCTCTGGGAAAAAGTGGGGCTGACCCCTAACAGACAAGAAATTGCCCATGCAGAGAGAGAAGTAGGGGAATCCAGGCCGAAGAAACTGTGCTCACAACAGGCCAAGTCGAAGAAGAGCCGAGTGTGTTCGGGAATTGAAGACTTATGAGCTGGACAGAAAAAGGCTACTAAGTGGGAAAGGTTGGTGGAAGCTACTTACCTACTCTCACAAACCACGTATTCCAGAACACCTCAGAGCCTGTATAATGCTAATGTTATCAAGAGGCTCTAAGAGAAGAGGCAAGAGTGTACTTCCTCCCAAATCTAAAGTCAAATCTCAAATCTCCAATACTCTGGGACATGTTCTTCTAAAGTGCTGATTGTTCTATTAGTTCTGATGGTTTCAAGACACCGGTGATTTGAAACGTGCATCACTATTCATTCTCTCACAAGGCCTGATGCCTCAGCTAATTATTCCGAGTGTCTGACATGGTTCCCTGAATTCTGGCAGGACTCATTTGCAAAGGAGAAGATTTCCACAGATCGGCTCGTGTCTGAGCCCAGGCAAGTCAGAAACAAATTCAAACTGAACAGAGACTGTGAAAACTTGATTTTTAAATGCTTACATTCAACAGTGATAATCACCTATATTTTTATATCCTAGCCAAAGACAGGGAAATAAGTGAGATACAGACTTGAAATAAGAATTAGTCCTTAGAAGAAAAAGAAAAACTTATTTCCCTTTATATTTAGATTTTAGCATCTAAATCTTTAGCATATTTCCTTTTCTTGCTACTTTGTGGAAAAATACTTCAAATTTATCTCATTTTTTTCTGTACTTTAATAATGAATAGTTTAATTGGTACATGGGAGAATACTGGACTGTTTACCTTTAAGATATTCCTAGAATCTTAAATCACTGTAGTCCAAGATATACTATGCACTTTACACCCAGCTGGCTAGCTAATGAGTTACATAGATAATCACATAAATGAACAGTAATTTTTATCAAAACAGTACAGAATTCTTGAAAGGTATTGCTAGTCTTTTAAATGAATCTGTGGCATTACTACCATCCCCCTTTCTTTAAATAACCATTTCATACATGCTTGCAAATGATACTGTGAATGACATGATCCTCTTTTCCCCCCACATCCAAAACCAAAAATTCAAAATCCAATTGGACACATGCTATTATTCCACATTCAAAACCATCTCTGAAACCAGGGGTAGCTGTGTATACATTAGGGATGGGGGTTTGGGCCCAGTCCAACTCCCTGTACATCTTCATTTGCCCAGTAACACAATCTATAGCCAACTGCTAACCAAGTCAATATGTGGTAAGACTAACAGCCACCCTAACTTGACTTGATAATTATTCTCCTTTAACTGACATAATATTCAATATACTGTTGTTGAGAGCAATAATGCTAAAATTGATGCCTTGAGGGCTACAAGACAATTGAGTTTTAGCCAGATGAAATGACTTGTACACTAATAGTGCATTATAGGGTTCCACAACCTATGGAACATTTTATAGTCTACTTGTACAAAAATGTTATATATAATTATATTCTAAGGCATTTGTGCATGCTTTATCATTACTACATATAATTTTAAAATATTGACCAATAGTCAAATAACACTGCTTTAGAGAAAAAGGGTTTATTTCTATAGTCTAGCTCTTGTTTGGGGGGATTTGCTTTATTATTTTTTAAGTGAGCATTTTCTCACTACACAAGTGATAATAGTTTTGTGTTCTCTGACTTCTTGCTTTTTTTCTAAACCAAGAACTGTTTTCTCCAAGGAGTAAGTAGATAATAAGTGCTGAATAACAAAAAGCATCATTTAAATAAAATCTATATTATATCAATTCTATCAATAAACAAGACAGACACTAAACCTAGTGATCCTCAAATGTAAAAATCATCTATGATTTTCTCAAAATGTCAATTCTAGACTCTGAATGGAGAAATAGATTATATTAAATTTGAGACTTTGTCAAAATGCATATTAAATTTAATGAAAATTAATCATAATTTAAGTATAACAATAAATGACAGTGTTCTTTATATGCAATATTTGACCTCAACAATAAGAGATTTTATAAATGGTTAGTTTATGGTTTTGGTGAATTTTTCTCTCACATTAATTTCTCTTGCAATTTTGTATCTTTAAAACCTGAGCCCTCATATAAAAATGAAATATAGAATATGTTTTCTAAGCTTGCCTTACAGCTATGTTGAAATTTTGTGGGGTTTTATTTTGGGGGGGGGAGGGGACTAATATCTCTAATAATTTCAAGTAAAACAAAAAATAGGCACCAGTTAAGGCAGAACATTACGACCACACCGCAGAACATCCAAAAGGTTCGGTATTTACTGACAATCAGGTGCTGCAGTAAGCTGGGTTGTTAAGATGGCAAAGAATCACAGTCATGCAAATATCTATTTGTTTGGACAGAGAGACACCATGCATATGCTCCACATAGCTTAGGCAAACATATAGTGCATGCAGAACTGAAATACAGCACTGATGATCAAACTAATAAGCATCTAAGTGGAGGCAGAAAGGACAATACTAGATTGGGGCAAAATACTTCAGTAAATAAAGGAAAAAGTGCTGAACCTAGCTAACAGTTCCATTCAAACATTTGCAAGAGGTTTGTTCTTTCATGTAGGACAGGTTAGGGAACGTCGGGCCCGAGGGCTGTACCAGGCTCTTGAAATCATTTGGTCTGGCCCTGCCAAGGCATTAGGGGTGAGTTAAATGTCTGACCAAATACAGCAGCCTAATTTTTAAGTTGATAATTTTGTATGACCCTCGAATGATGTTATAAATACCCATATGGCCTTTGGCAGAAAAAGGTTCCCTACCACTGGTGTAGGACAGAATCAATCCAAAATGGACACTAATAATCGTGTTGTGGAAACGTCTGCAGAAAGACGTGGCCCGGATGTGTCTTGAGGCAGCATAATCAGGGATCCTTAAACTGGCTCCATGCTTTGCTTTTCCTGGCCCTTCCTCCTGGACCTTGTGCCCCCTCAATTCCCCTGACCACCCAGGACTTAACTTTCCACTCACCCCACTGAAATGTCCCCATCCTGAGGCAAGTGAGAGAATGCTTGTGAAAGTCTTCTGTACACTGAAAATGTAATAGACAAGTATTCCTATTAACATCATCATCTCATCTTCAGAAGGCCAAATTTTCTGTGCCTTCCAAGTTGACATCTTACTGAACGAAAAAATATGATCCTCTGCCTCCTATAGCAGACCTGGGAGCAGAAAGATTATCCCACTTCCCCTCTTTCTCTATGCTCACTCACCACCCCTCCCCTGCTCTCCTGCCCTGGCTAACACCTGGGGGGACCACACAGGAGAATGACAGGAATGTGTGTTTTGATGCCAGGTTAAAGCAAGGGGAGACTCGCGGGGCCCCCACTCCTCACATACCAAGCTGGCAGCCAAGGCCTTGCACACAACACAAGGTAACTTGGGGAATAAACAGGCTGGCAGAGCCAAAAGCAATTTTTTTGAAGGGCTCAATCCTCCTGGTATTATCCCCGCAGGAAATTTCAAAAATCACTTCAGAGTCTACCTTTTCCACTATGCTCTCCTCTGGCAGGAGGGAGAACTTCTTCATCATCCATGTAGTCTTTTTGGGTCCTGGGGTCTCCCAACATGCTGTTTTCAACATTTACCCTTCAAGGGTCGTAGGAAGACAGATGGCCATAAAAATACTTCAGAGGCAAAGTACACAATGCAAAACTACTCATAACATACTGCAAAATATGATGAAAGGGGGGCAGGGAGGTTGCAGGGGAAGGGAGTGGAGGCTGTGGGCCTCCCAGAAGAGCTTTAAGACCTACTGACACAAAGACAGGGTTCGGGCTATAAGAGCAGGTGCTATGAAGGCCAAATCTACAACCATGCCTGCATGGTTTGGAGTGTGAAGATTGACTGGTTACAAAAGCGGGGAATTTATCGACATTACAGTTCTTCCTTTGATTTGGACGAAGAAGCAATAATTAGTTAGGGTGCACAGACAACCAACAAAACACCGAACCTACAAATTAAGGGTGAGAACAAGCCTTACTAAACCCAGATGAAATGTCATCTCAGATTTCCACACAGGCATCACCCACCTCAAAGAGCCCTCCCCCTTGAGTAGGGCTACAGCAAGACTTGCTGGAGAAGCCAGGGCACTCATGGTGCAGGGAGAGTGAGCTGGATTCAAAAGGAGGCAAACAAAGCAACACTAGGCAACAGGCCACTGTTTCCTTCCTAACATACACCACTGAAGCCTGCTGTCAGCCCGCTGGGACGTCACTCCTTCTTTCCAATTCCCCCGCAAGCCTGCCAAAAGCACCGTTCTAACCGGGAGAGGGTGTGCCTACCTGGGACTGCGAGAGGCAGGAAGGAGACCAGGTTTGCTTGCCAAGGGCTTTCACCCAACCCCTCCTAGAGCTGGCCACAGACACCAGCTTCAATGTCCTCCCCCTACCTGAAGGATGTACCCCCGAACGTAGTCCCGTAGCGTCCAGCCCAGGCCGTGCAGGATGTGTAGCACCTCCTCCTGCTTCAGGACACTGAAGAGCCGGTCCAGCAGGATCTTTAGCCGCACGGGCACCGCTTGTGTCCCGTAGAGCATCAGGCTGCTGATGTCGAACACCACGTTGGACTGCACAATCTCCACTTGCGTGGGGTGGTACAGGTGCTGGGTGCTGAGCTTATCCAAGGCTGTGGTGGTCCCACCAAGGATCCGGAGGTGGATGGGAATAAAGAGACAAAGGGAGAGGACAGACAAAGCAGAAATAAGTTACTGGAAGTTATCAGGGCTCCATTTCTAAGGCTGCAGATCACCACAGGAAAACCACATAAGTCTTTAAGCAAGTGTTTGCAATGTAAATAGTTCTCTTCCCACCTTCTCCCTGTTTTGTTTATAAATTGCAGACTGCAAAAGACAGCAAGAAAATACAAAACGTATTCAACTTTCAGAAAGAGAGCCACTGAGGATGTTTCTAAATGACTGTGGCTGACTCTACAAACCAGACTAATTAATTAGCTAATTGAATTATGGTGCAACCCAAGTTGTCATGGTGTCCTCCCTTCCCCCACCAAAGAAAAAACGAACAACTTCCACCTAATGTCCTAAGAACAGGTTCGACCAATATAATTTTAAAAAATAAAATCTGCCCTAGCTGGTTTGGCTCAGTGAATAGAGTGTCGGCCTGTGGACTGAAGGGTTCCGGGTTCGATTCTGATCAAGGGTGCATACCCAGGTTGCGGGCTCCATTCCCAGTAGGGGAGCATGCAGGAGGCAGCTGATCAATGATTTTCTCTCATCACTGATGTTTCTATCTCTCCCTTCCTCTCCCTTCCTCTCTAAAATCAATAAAGTTATATTTTAAAAAAATAAAATCCACCCCTTGTAAAACCTGAATGGTTTAAAGAGGAAGAGAAGCATGTTCTTCAGAATGCAGGGGCCTAAAAGGCCTAATTTCAAAGGAATAATAAGGAAAGCTGACATCAGTGTAGGGCTCTCAAGTTAAATGACCAGGAGCGAAGGGAGATTATCCAGAGACTTAGGTCTCCCAATTTTACCTCTTGCTGTTCACCTGTGAGATTTAGTTTAGTGTTCACTGGCATGTTCTATAAAAGTTATCCAGGAGAAACAAAAACAAACAAAAAAAAGTAGAAAAAAATACATTCAAGCCATAATTTAGTCATCTTTTAAACAGCTCTGACCAGGGTTTAGTGTCAAATGAAAATGGAAAACAATGACTATAATCAAAGTTTGAGAATTTCTGTGAATTTCAGCTGTTATGTCAGTACAGAAAACGAAGGGTGACCATTTTCAGAGTAAATATTTTAATTAAATATTTCAACAATTAGGCCTTTTCCTCCTCAAATCTAAGAAATTATCTCTCTCCTCTAGATCTTAAAGCCAAGATCAGATCATACTTCCAGTCCCCATCTTATCTGATTTACTGGGAATTAACTATTGCAAATAGTTACTATTGCAAATAATATAATTATATTTTTCCTCAGTTTCTTTAAAGTGAATTAAGATAACATTGTATTATATGTTATCTTAAAGAGATGCTGCTGCAAAGATTAATGAGATAATGAATGAGAGGTGCTTTGAACTCCTGAAGAGGACACAAAAGCATTAGGTCAACTGTAAGAATTATACACATATGGCCTTCTGGGGATTAAAACAGATAAACACCTGAGCCTGAAAAAAATGGTCATCTAATCTCTTGAGTGAGGCCAGTGGCTTTCAGATAACATCCAGGCTCAAATTCTAACTATACCTGAGAGTACAGTACCCAACGTTTCTGCAAGTTCTAAATCCCTGCCTGGTCTTTCTCACCCACCCTTCCCTCTACCTTAGCCCATAACGGTATGTACTGTACTGTACTGTACATGTGCACTCTGAGTAACTCTTATTTGAATATACCAGTGTCTCTGCATATTAATGCAGGTATTTAAAAGTGCATGCACACACACGGTTTTTACTTATTTGAAATGTAGTTTTTCAGGGCTCCTCCTCCACTCTGGTTTCCTCCTGACTTGTGGTCACTAGAGAGTTCATGTACTCTTGATAAATTGCTTTCTTACATCCATAGTGTAAAGGCCCTTATCATTTACCCGCTGGCTTCATTCAACACATTTACTCCCAGGAATACTTTGTCAAAGAGTTCGGGTTTTCTCATACTTCATTTCTTGCAGTTGATTTGTCTGATCTTTCCTATTCTAGTGGTTGAGTCAACTTTGAATAAATAGCCTTAAAAATTAATTTAATGTTTGGGAAAGATAAGGGATTCACAAGCCTAGGGATTGAAGACTTCTCTCACCCCACAGGGCATTGAGCCTGCAAAGATGCAGGAAAGTATTATTATCCCCGTTCTTCTCCAAGAACTGCTTAACTACTCTGCTGAGTGGCTGTTCTGCTTCCAGAATCCAGTGACCAGGTCAGGGAAAACCTGCTCTCCAACTCTCTTCCATCAACCCTCCTGGCCCAGATCAATCACTTTGTCACAAAATACTCTGCTTATACCACAACAAATAGGAAATCAAGAGGGTTTAGTAGGGGAAAGTAACTGACACTAAATCCTGATTTTTGTCCATGTGTTTGGACCTTGTACTTATGCACTGAGTATATGTAGGTCTGTGTACCAATGTATTCAAAGGCTAGGTGGGAAAAGGTCATATCAGCCCTCTCCCTCCCACCCCTTAAAAATGGCAGACAGTTTTTAGAAGATAAAGAAGACTAACCTGTTGAGGGTAGAGAAACAAAGAGAAATTGTTCAGATAATTGAAAGAGCACAGGTAGAATAGGTATGGCAAAAATATTTCCCTAGATATGCTTTTGAGAACACCAGAGAGTGTGAGTATTATAAGGACATTACCTGATTCCTCTTCACACTAGTAAGTATGACATATGTTATGAAGTAGGAATTCTGTTACAAGCCACAGAGACATAGAACACAGGTCAATAACTTTTTTTCTGTGAAGGACCAGATATTTTTACTTCTTATGGGTTTTACATTCTCTTCCTTAACTAATCACCTCTGTGGTTATGAAAGCAGGTCAGACTGAAACTAATGGTCATGTCTGTGTTCCAATAAAACTTTATTTATACAAACAAGCACCTGGCCACATTGAGCTCTGTTATGGAGGATGAAAGGGTGAACTGGATAGGTTTTAAAAATTCAATAACAGATAAGGAAAGAGTCCTAAGAGTGAAATTTAAGCAGCAATTACCTAGAAGATAAGCCATAGACAAAGGCTGGAACAATATTAAAATGCCCAGCTTGCATATGTCAACTGTAAATTTTGGCATAAACATATCATCAAATATGATCTGTCAAATTTCTTGAATGTATCAATATTTTCTGCTTTATAATTGTAAGGTCATAGTGAGTCACCAAGTTGTCAACAACTTTTGGGGATGTCTCCTTGAGAACGAAGAGTAAGTGATGATTTTTTAAGTGTCATTAATATCGATAAACTGAAAATTGGACTTCTGCCTAATGTCATGATCTTCCTATGTCTGAATGTGGAGGACTCAAATTTGGATCTTAGTAGGGTTAGAAATATGAGTTGGGTCAATGGGATGAAGGCAGGTTAGGGCAAGAATTTTTTCAGTGGCATGAAATGGGAAATGATAGTCACCTGCTTTATACTTTACTAGAGGCCCGGTGCACAAAATTCGTGCACAGGTAGGGTCCCTAGGCCTGGCAGGTCATCAGGGCCGATTGGGGCCTTACCGTTGCTGGCCGGGGCCTTCCTTCATTCTGCGCCGCCCCCTGGTGGTCAGCGCACATCATAGCGAGCAATCAAACTCACGGTCTAAAGGTCGAACTCCCGAGGGGACAATTTTCATATTAGGTTTTTATATATATATAGATGGGCCTAACCACCTGCTAAAGTCCTGTACAAATGGTATTGCCAAAGTATCATTTTCAAATAAAATCTTAACCCAAAACTGGGCATAAAAAACATAAAAGTGAAGCTGGAGTGAGCATGGATTAGAGAACTTGCTTGTTAATCCCTTTTTCTCTTCAACTTGTCTAAGCAGCTCAGCTGGAACCCTAGAGTTCCCAAAAGCACAGTTTGAAAACATACTTTTCTACACAATAAAATGGAATCAATTGTTTCACCTGCTTTGCACCTACTCTCTTTCATTCTAGTAACAGAAATTGAATTTCCCTTTGAGGAACCATTCTTCCCCTATCTTAAAAAAAGAATATTCCTTAAGCCAGGCCTGGAAAACCAGCATATCCCAGTCGCTTGGCCACAGGGATGGGCAAGTGACCTACTCTGAACAATCAAGGACTTAAGGACTTTAGTTATAAGTAGTGGGAAATTTTTCTCTTTCCTCAAAATCTGAAGCTGGTAAATATATGCTTGAGAACAAAAATCGCATGGAAGACAGGTGGGATGCAGGTGGTCTGAGAAAGACCAGGTACTGCCAATATTGTTTGATCCAGAAGATACGGACATGGTCATTTTGGGTGCTGGTACTTTACCTAGAATCTTGGGATACAAAAGCCAACAAACTCTCTCTTTTTATGTCTGCTTGGAGTACGATTCTGTAACTTGTATCTAAAAGAGCCTTAACTAAGACAACTACCTTTGGGGTTTCCAGCTGGATACCATGTAATTTTAAAGCAGGTGTCAGTGAAAAGGTATTTTAGTTCCAGGTCAAATGCAGTTTCTCCAGTGACTGGAATGAAGTATCCTTAAAAATTTCATATCTTACACAAATTTATAAAGTGTGATAAGTGCCATCAACATTAATAAATAAAAAATAATTATGGGGGAATAAAGGAAATGATCTCTAAGTACTAACTAAATAGCATGCATCATTTCAGGGTTTTACAATGATCTCATTTTATCCTCTCAAAAATTAAAAAACACACATTATAACTATTATCACCTATTTGGAGATCACAGACTCAATGTGGTTTAGCAACCAGCCTAAGGTCACTTAGTTATGTCTCCCAAGAAAATTCTGTTTCTACCACATGTTCAGATAAATAGTCAATAAGGAACTCTGGGAACTTGGAAATCTTCATCATGTTACAAGTCCCTAACTCACAGCAATCTGGGCTTCTTGCCCATCACTCTGCTGAAGCAAGCATTTCAAAGGTCACCAACACCTGCCTTACTATGAAATCCAATAGCTTTTCTCCTTCATTATTTTCCATGATCTCTCCATAGCAGCTGAC